GCTAGTTGTAGGCTTCATGCTTTGGAAACAATATTGCATGTATAATTAGAGAAAACATAGATCCAAAGCAATTAGGGTTGTATGTGCAACATAGGATGTTGTAGTATACAAAACCCAACAATTGTGTGGTCTCATTCTATAGTATGACGTGAGATTAAAGCGTAGTGTAGTATTCCTCCTCTTTTTAGACAACCAATTAGGTATGGATGGTTATATACTAGAGTAAGACGACAACACTTGATCATTCTATACAATCTTGTGAATTACGTTGCTAGTGTGGAGTTATAACCCACAGTTGTAGATGAAATGGGATACCATATTCGTCAAATACTTTGATGGCTTGATTTGCCTATATGACTTAGAACGGCCAAGGAATCCCCTAGTTGTGTAGTGAAAACCTTATTCTAAACGATTTCATCAGGTGAGTTAATTTCTATACTTGATCGTGGATTAGGATTTGTGAGAATTGATTGAGTTGGGTACGCATGGGTATCGTGACTTATAGATATATTCGTTAGATCATATATCTATAATAGTTGGTAATAGTTGGTTTTGCAGGTTTTCCTAAACCTCACCAACTCAAACTATATGCATCACATGTAGCAGGATTAAATATGTTGGAACTTGATTAGGATGTCGAGTGCCTAAGAGATAACCTACAATCGTATTCAGGAGCGTTAGGTCTTTACGCTGTAACTTACGTTGTGTATTGATTATGACATCCTTAGGAATTTTGTATTTTGAAACAACATCTTTACTTAAAATATTTTAATAAAACAAGACAGTTTCCGTAAAATGTTTTATTGTACTGGGATTTTGCGCAAACAAAAATAATATAGTTTTGAAAACGTAAAGAAAAGTTTATTTTTTCAGTTACGAAAAATTGGGGATGTAACAGTTGGTATTAGAGCACTAGTTTAAGCGAACTAGGCATAAAAAGATTTCTAGACTTAAACGTAGAGTGCTACGTGAAGATGGTGAGATGTGTGTCTAGTGTATTTTAGGTTGTATACCTAAATTGATATTATATAGACACAAGCACTAGAATAATTTATAGTATATACCATATTTTTTATTATATGCTAACAGATTTATTTTATAGCATGCTATAAGTTATGTACTTTACTTGCTATTATGTGCACTAGCATATTTTAGGAGAAATACCTTATATGCTAATATATGCTAACTGATAAGTATTATAGCATGCCTTAGGTTGCCTACGTAAATTGCTATTACTTAAAGAGATTTGAGGTCTATTACCGACCTTGATTTGGAAAATGAAATTTTATGTGTACAAGATTCTAAACATTGAGTTACTGTATTTGAATTAGAATGTAACTTTTCAGAATGATAAGAATAGTACAATAATTAACATCCGTAGCTTCTTAAATAGTGTACAAGTACTTTTGGATTAGGATAGTATATTTTGGTGAGATAAACGTACATCGAAATTGTGATTGTACATTTGAAGTGATAGTATACACTTGAGGTACATTTACTTTTGGTGAGATAATAGACCGATGGGGACATCAGATACAACCAACAACCAAGAGGAATCCATGAGTTGTAGATACGACCATACTAAAGCACTAACGACTTACAAATTTTGAAGAATGGAAGATGGTGACAAATACTTCAGCGGTATCGAAGTTGAAATTATATAAAGATGCCATGTAGAATTCGAGAAAGACAAAAGAATGAAGTCGATAGAGTTTCCAGACTCAATAGGCCGAGTTTTTGTCTGTTTATATGAGGTAGTATGCAATTAGAGTGGTGTGTTAAGAGCTGATTACACATATTGCTCTCACTTTGTAAGTATAAATACTAAGTGATAATTGACATTTATCTCATCCTTACGTAAGTTCCTTAAGATGCTAAGCCGAATTTAAAATTTAGGACTACGATGGTGGATTAGTCATTGGTTTGTCAAGTATAGATTAACTTACTGGTTTAGTAAGTTAGAATACTTAGCTAAGATGGTGATACATTTTTAGTATTGCTCAAGGCGAAACGCTAATGTTAGACATGACAAATAACTTGGTGGAAGGTAGTGGAACATCTTGAGATATAGATGAAATGTAGACTTCCTAGCATTGATTCCTATGAAGTAGATGTGAAAAGAGATACAGCTGTGATGCAGACTTTCTAGGACTGACTCCTACAAAGTAAATGATAATGAAGTGAAGAGATAGTATGATATGATTGGTGACTTGCATATGTGAACAAGTGGTACAAATAGTTAAAGAGAGCTTGTCTCCATACCACCAGAGAGAATTCACACGTAGTATGTCATGCAGACTAGGCATTATAATGGAAGGAATATGAAGAGTTTAAAGTAACATTCCTAGTAACCTATTAAGGGCGTTAGAATATGCTAGATCATAAATATACATGAAAAGGATCCTAGAAGAGGAGTCTCGGAAATTTTACTATGTGTTTGGTAAAGCACATGGTTGTTGTTAGAGTGCCTTGTAGAGATGCAAAAATCCTATTGGAGTCTAGCGAATTTTTTTGCATGTGCTTGTTTGGACACATACATATATGTTAAAATTGCTTTGTTGTTATCATGTATAGTGACTTGGGAACTGCGAGGAAACTCTTTGGATGAGTATGAATAGGTGTGAAATGTATTATAGGCCTGAAAGTTGAGTTTGTTTTGTCTGTCTTGTCATTACCTACATTACAATGATGACTAATAGAGTGGTTTTGGTTCAATTCGTAGTCGCCATGAAGGATCGAGTCCAAGTAATATACATCTACATAAGTGACTGTATTTTTTTTGGGAACCTTGTTTGTTGTAGTAACTAACTTTATTCAGGAGATTAAAGAAGGATATGATCAAATTATTCGACAAAAGAATCATAGTCTTCGCTAGGGGCTGAGCAACCAGTGGCTAGAGATACTACTTGATGCGATGTGGTAGTATATCGACCTCCCGCGTTCAAAAGAGGAAATAGTAGATTAATATAACAAAATGGAAGGTGTTTTTCATACTAGTGTTTGTCTCGTGGAGGAAAGGGTCTAGTTCGTTATGTATCTGTCGTGTTCTACAATGGATGGTCATTACAATGTGACTAGTCGGTCAGTTACTAAAGCCAATTAAAAAGACCTTATCTTGGGTTGAGTTCTTGAACAATTTCAAGGAGTGGGAGTCTATTATGAAAGTTGATTTTGTAACTCAAGAATTAGGACTGAATGTCCATTAAAGGATGAAAGAACATGTGTATGTCCATGCACCACCATCAGAAAATGGTTTAAAACCTATTGATTCTAGCTCGAGAGGCTAGGGGAAGCTATTGTCGTTGTAGCTTCTATATAGAGGTACATGAAAGTGTCTTTCGTACGTTTACACCAAGTACTTCGGTTATGATTAAAAGGATCATTACAAGAGGATCATTTAAAGTGCGACAAGGTTGATTCACTTTGTCCCATATAAGTTGGTGGACGACTTCATTTTTGTCGTGGATTTGATCTGTTTGTGATTGTGTTATACGAGAAGATCACACATTGTGCACACAATAAGTGATACTAGTTTGGGGATGTTAACTTCATTAATATGACAATCAAGAGTTTCTTCTAAGAAGAAAGGGAGCTACAAGTAACATAGGCAGAGTATAATAGTTGGCAAATTGGTTCAACCTTTGACGATCAATCACATTGAGCATTACTACAATTTAGACTTAATGTATGGGTGTCGATGTTTATTAAGCAAGTTTAAGTGAGATTATACTAATCACTCATCCCCAAAAGGACATCTGCTTATCTAAAATTATTTGATCTTATAAGAGAATATCTTATTCATTTCTGCACACACCACTTCTGAAGCCACTACTTTGGAGCCAACTTATGCTTCCAGAATTATGGATATATCCATAGGAAATCCTTTTAGGACTAACATAAAAAGAATCATCTAAGTGTGGCCCTAACGGATACTTCGATCTCTATTATTGCTTGAACAGAGTTCTTAAGAACGGCTGGACTATGTGTGTATGTGTGTGTTACAATATAATAAGTCTAGAATTTCATGAATAAATTCCCTTGATCCTTCAAAATGTGTTAAATCTCTTGATCAATCTGGTGGTTCGGTCAGAAACAAAGTAATTGAAGACAAAATCCAAAGTGGAAGAGAAGAAAAAAAAAAGGAAAAAGAAAGAGAAGAAGCTGAACTACGTACTACTAAAAAAAGAAAGGCTTTCCATGATCTTATGGAGAAGAAATAGAAAGAAAGAAAGAAGCTAGAGGCTGCTGAAAAAAAGGATGTTGAAGAAAAGCAACGAGTTGAATAAGAGTCTGCCAGAATCAAAGCTCATATAGAAATGTTTTGTAAAGAAACAACATGCGGAAGATCGTTCATCACCTCAATATACCTCCACAACCAAGAAAACTTCTTCCAAAACTCTCTTTGACACCAATCTATGCTCTAAATAAAATCCATTCAGATATGATGTTGATGAGTATGTCTCCATGTCAGTTGGAGTCATGACCAACATCTTTGTCAAGCCTCAGCCTCTTCCAATTACAGTTACTGCCACTCAAAAACCTCCTACTGAACCAACAACTTCATCATCCAATGGTACAAACTGACCTTCCAACGATTTTAAATCCTCTACTCATTCTGGACACTCCCCATATTTCAAGTTTCTTGAAGCCAAAATTGATCGCATCTTGGATCATTTTGACAAAGCCAACTTCGACTTTGACTCCTGCTCCAAAATCAACTCCTTCAATTACTCCTGAATATCTTGAAATGGCTCTTCAGAATGTTCTTTCAGAGTCAAATATACAAGATGACTCTCGCCTCCGAAAGCTTGAGGAATTTCAATCTTCGGTTACTACGCTTCTTAACATTTTTTCTATCGAGCTCTATGATCACAAAAGGAGTTCAAACTATCTCTGGAAACGTTCTTTGAAACATTGGGGAAACAACCTGGAGAAGAGGTTGAACGACTTTGCCAGGATCTGCTTAACTATCGTAACAATACTCTTATCATAACGAGTGTATGTTCCAAGTTTCCAATGACATCCAACAGCTAACCAAGTGGCCTTGGGAGGAATCTCAAAAATTCAATGAATATGTTCAAAATATTGGAGTCTTTCTGGACACAGCTGAGATTCATACTGGAGTTGACTCTCTATCGAAGAATGTCACACAATCTTTTCTTAAGGTCTTCTCCAACTTGAAGAATTAAAGAAAGGATTCGTGAATGAGGTTGAGCCTTCTTTCACAAAAGGGGGAGAAAAAAGTCACTCCTCCCCTCTGAAGAAGGACGATGACAATAAAATTCTAATGGATGTGATAATTTAGGAACTATCTGATGATGGCGGCAATACATCAAAGAAAACTCCAACTTCTCCAAAGTCTCCTTCAAAGATTCCCAGTTCTTATCCAAATTCTCGAAAGTCTCTGCCCAAGAACCCAAGTCCTCCTCTGAAGTCTCCACCTAAGATACCAACGCCTCCGAACTCCCATCTTAATGAAAGGATTCCTATTCGAGATCTTAAGAAAAAGGTTGATGAAGAAGAAGAAGTCCCTCATACAGAAATTTTTTCTTCGTTTGATGAAGATGATGTAGAAACCAAAGCACAATAGAAGCTGGAACAAATATATCGAGATCGTATTATTGAGACACTTCTCCAAGAACAACTCACAAACAATCTACTGCTCCTCCTTCTCCTTCAGAAGATATTGATGTGGATCCTCTGTTCAAACCTTGGAAGTCCTTGATCCGACCACTTGAAGATAAGGATATTACTACTAATGAATCCTATGATCTTCCTCTTAGTTTTGACTTTGAATGGGACGATCTCTCCAAATGGGCGCTTCTTTCCAAATTTTCCTCCTTTATAAAAATACAAGCCTAATAGTTTGCCTCGGTATGAAGAAAGAAAAAGGTTGGCAACATTTTATGCGAAACATCAACAGAAGATCTATGACATGGGATGGTCCAGAAAAGTAATTCTCAAACTCAAAAGCTTCAAGTCTCGATCATTTCAAGAACCCTCGTACTAGTTCTATGAACTCCAGAGAACAAATGAAAATAAATGCTACTTCACAGATGCTGATTTCCCAATTGTCAATCCCGCTGATCTACTTTTCATTGCCAAGGAGCTGAACGGAAGGATTCCTTCCAAAGAAGCCGCCAAGAATGCTCTTATTCATGTCCAAAGATAACTTCAGAGGATATTTCTCGAAATGGCCAAAATTGATTACGAGATAAACGCACTACTTCCTCTAGAACAATTTTTGGAAATGGACCCCTCTCTTGAAGGAATTGAAGATAACGATTTCGGGACCACAGATTCTCCTAAACTCGAAATCATCTAATGGATTGATGGCTATGATAGGAAACACTTCTTTCGTTTGATCCAGAAACAACGTTGCTCAAACTCTTTCCTAGAGAGCCTCACGAATGTTTCCCGTGAAACTCCTGAAGCCTCTATTGAGATCAATATGGAAGTTCTGAAGTAGATTCAATGGATGTTTGCAGTTAGAATGTTTTTCAAAAGTGTATTTGATCTTGTGAATAAAACTTCGGATATTTAAAGCAAAGCAGCTACAGTCACTTAAGGGGAGATTGTTGAACCATGAAGTGACCTTCGCCGGAGATCAACATTCAACCTGCTGACCAAAGTTGGATGATCTGAATTCTAGGTGTGATCGGAAGGAAGATTCATCAGAAGGTTGTTTCGTTATCAGAAGTAATTGACTTCTGTTTTGTTTGTTTGTGTTAGAAATTAATATCTAATGGGCTGTAATGATTGTTGATTAATGACTAGATCACTTAGTTATATCAGTATCTTTAAGCTATACTTATTTACAAGTTGTGCCATCACATTATGTCTCTAAAATGGGAATCGAGATGTGGTTTTCCTTACACATTTTTCATGCTATTATTCTGAACAACTCTTAGCATATCTAATATTGTTCTTTCTCAATTATGTTTGTCTATTTACGCTTTTGGTATTTCATTATCATATTATATATATATATATATATATATATATATATATATATATATATATATATATATATATATATATATATATATATATATATATATATATATATATATATATCAGTGGTTAAGTTGCTACTTCTGTACTTACTTATTGTCATTTAATTTAGAGCATTTTCGTGGTTTTATCCCATGTTTTCCAAAAAAATAAAAAATTGTGTCATTTTTAGCAATTAAATGAGACTTTTTATCAATCAACGCTCAAATATGTTCGTAGATTACGTCACTTTTAGCAGTCATTTGGAACATTTTAGCCGTCAACGGCCAAAACCACATTTTTGGCAATAATTTTATTTTTCACAGATGATGTCACTTTTAGCATATGTTCATCTGTGAAAATTACGACTATTTGAGTTATTTTTTTTTATTTTTGTGATTACTTTATGATAAAAATAATTTAAAAATAACTATTACGATTATTTTCTATTTCGTAAACTGTATCTATAAATGACGTGATGAATGACGTTTTGAAAAATGTATATTAACTTTAGAATGTTTAACACCTCTGGGGGTTTGTGGAAAGGAACATCTCACGTATTTATCAAATAAGTCTATCTTTTACAATAAAAAGGAGGTCCTAGTAATCAAAATCGAAATAAACGTGGAAATTATGTTGTTTATATGTCGATATTGTCATGGTCCTTAATGAAATTTTGATAAATATTGACGGTCTCATTTTAAATCAAAATTTATGTCTATTATTCTCTAAAATTTGAGTTGGTTTGGTTATTTTATGGTACTTATCCGTGGTTTTTTTTCTAATTTTTTTATGTTTTAAAATTTTTTATTTTATGTTGGAGAAATAAAAACAGTTTATGTAGTTTATGACTTTATGTTCATGCTCCCATCGTCTAATCACTTGCCACCCCTCATGCCTAGGACCAGTGGCCGATCTAACCCACAACTCAAGTGGGGTGCATAGTTGACCTCTGACCGTTGATCATTGACCGTTCACTCAAATCAATTTCAACCGTCACGATGGAATAGAGCCAGGTTGGGGAAATTCATTGGAGGCATTTGCAGATGAAGATGCACCATCTGTTGATATTCATTTTTTTAAAAATCTTTCCATTTATCTGTTAATAAAAGTTAACAATAAATTATTCATTGATATACTAAAACTTAACAATTAACAATCTATTATTTATGGATGAAATAAAACTAAACAATTAACAATTTATTAACAGGAAACATGAGCCTTTAATGTGTTCAGATAATGCCCAGAGGGGAACTTTGTCCAATATACCACTTTTACGTACATTATAAATATGTTAATTTGTTTTAGGAGGGACGAACACCAAGACATACCATGACACCGAGTGATGATGAGAGAAAATTTTCTTATTATATGTCATATCAAGAGTATGTATATGGTGAACCGTATTCAGTTCCAGCTCCTGTGCGGAACCATTTTAGGAGGCAAGATGAATCTTTGTGTAGTGTATCTTCTAGTGGTCGCTCCCATGCAGAGGTGGAAGAACTGGGAAACCAAAATTAGAAGATTTGGCGAAGTGGTTATTTAAACATGAACAACATGTGTATAGGATTCGAGAATGCACCAAGGTGTTTGTGGAAGAGGTGGATGACGAGAGTATATGGAACAACATAAATTTTGATGAACCGGCAAAATTTCGAACAAATATTTCTTTTGATGAAAATGTTAGTGACAACCTACATTTATGATATAATTTGTTAATAAATATGTATATATTTTTTAATAATTTAAAGGTACTAATGTAGGTTTTAGATGATGGGGCTTGGACTACAAACAAATTCGATGAGAATATTTTTGATGATAATGAAGCTGAAAAGGTTATTATACATTTTAATTATGATATAAATTGTAAATAATTATGTATATTGTTTTGTTAATAATTATAACGTATTAATGTAGGTGTTGGACAAAAGGAGGCACGAAGGGGGGCGGAGTACAAATCAATTCGATGATCATGTTTTTGATTTTTCTGATAATGAAGCTGAAGAGGTTATTATAGTTACATTTATGATATTATTTGTTAATAAATAAATACATTTTATTAATAATTATAACGTATTAATGTAGGTGTTAGATGAAGAGGTAATAATTACTGGGACTACAAATCACTTTGATGATCATGTTTTTGATGTTAATGAAGCTATACCCGATAGATATAGGCTTCGTAATCCATCAAAGTTTGTGTGTACTCCTTACACACATGTATCGATTAATAGCTAATATGGAAAGAATATTTTTTATGTCAAATTTTCAATACATAATGATTTAAATGTTTGAAAATTGTTTTAGTTACACATGACACCAAAGCCAAAGCGAAGAACAAAAAAGAATGTTCATACCAGATCAACAACCCATGTTCCTCCTCCATCATTTGTTGTTGATCATAACTTTTCAGTTTTATGTCTGCAGCCTTACATAGCAGGCAGTGAGGTTGTGTTACAAAATTATTTTATCCATGCGTATAACGTGCAACACCGATTCTACAATTTGATATTAGATAAAGAGTTTTGGAGTGCGTTGTTTGGGCATACACACAATGGATGGTTAGATCAAGTAGTAAGTATTTATACATTTATGATTCTAATTGATTTTCATTTATTAATCAATAACAAAACATATGACGATTTGGATTAGACTGTTGATGGAGAGACAGTTTGAAACTGATCGGTATACAATAATGCCTCCAAATTTTTTTGTTTGCCATGTTCTCGAATATGGTTATGATTGGAGGGCATTTATGTCTGGGATAGCTACATACCCCAACTTTATGGTTCCTTGGTGGGATGTGGATACGATATATTCTTAGTTTTATTAAACTTACTTTCATTATTATAATTTTTTTTGTACCGTAGTATGAATAAATAATTATTTTAAAACTTTGTACATGTTTATATGCCGATTCATTAATTTCCAAATCATTGGTTGTTTGGCGAACTGTGACTGGAGTCAATGAAAGTTCATCTTTATGACAGTCTCGGTAGCAGGGCTTATGATAGATTTGAGTCACATGGAATGTTTAACAAATTTGAGGCTCGGGTGGAAAAATTTTTAGAAAAATTAATTATTGGCAGAGGAGGAACATCCCAAGGATACCACTGAATATCAAATTCATTTTGGAAAAAGAAGTTCCCCAATAAATTGGCGAGTTGGGAGATTGTGTCGTATTTTTTTGTATGTTTATGAAACAGCTGGTATCAGACCAACCAATACGTGAACTTACAGACCCAAAAAATGCAGCTTTAGAGTTTTGTCAAATGATGGCAAAAATTTATTGGGATCATGTGTTGGTCATATGTAACTGGATTTTATATATATATATATATATATATATATATATATATATATATATATAATATATATATATATATATATATATATATATATATATATATATATATATAATTGAATGTTCGATTTATAAATCAAGCGTTAGATAAAAATTACTTCGTACATAATGTTGTAATAACTTCAAAACTTAAAACATAACAACGTCTGCACAATTTTTTTTAAACATTAGAACTTCAAAACTTTAAACATAACACCAACTACATCATGTTTATTGATGTTAGAACTTCAAAC